TTAAATGAACTGCCTCCTGGCTATGAGCACAAGCCTAAATGGCTTTCAGGAGGGAGAGATCCAAAAAGCCTGCCCTGCCTCTCTCTCTCTGTCTCTCTGCCTCTCTGTCTCTCTCTCTGGTGTGTGTGAGTGTGTGTCTGCCTCTCTTTTTCTTATATGTCTTTATATCTATCTAATTGCTTCCTTGTTATTTTTTTAGTTTTATTCCATTTTTTTTTTTCTCCAAAATTCTCTGTATCCGCTGTAATGGTAAACAGAAGTGTTTCTCCTCTCTCCTTTTCAGACTCCGTCTTGACTTTCAATCCTATTACCTGCCCTGCTGTGCTGATGATGAATAGTTTTTTGAAAATCTGTTATCCAGGGCTGGTTATCCAGTAGTATATTATGGGATGTATGTGTGTGTGTGTGGGGGGGGGTGTCACCAGGCATTTGTTTCTTATGTGTGTTTCTTTTAAAACCAGGCAATTACTCTATCATTTAATAATCCTTACCTCAAAGTTCACTTGAAAGAAAACTCCTAAGATTTAACGGGGGAAAAAAAAAAATCCCTAAAAATAAAAGTTAGGCTAGGCTAGGCCAGGGTGGGAAATTCCATTGTGGCCAGAAGCCCATGGCAGGTAGAGTGGAATTTAATGAAGGAAACTGCTGTGTTTTTGTGTCTTTCTGTATGTTTTTCCTTTAAAACCAAGAGCTGGGCAGGCATCCCATTCGACCTGACGTGACCCAAGCAAATTGCTTCTTATATAAAAACAACTGCAGACTTTGAGAATGTGAAAATGCACTGTATCCTTCTCCAACTGAGGGAAAGAAAGCCTGAGAAACAGGACGGCCCTGTCAATACTTGTTGAGCAGAACTATCGCTCAAACCTGATAAAGGGAGATTAGAACAGACTTCCTCCTGCCACCAGGATTCAGTATAATCTGGACCTCCTTATTTTGTGTTTTCTTAAACAAGGACAAGCAGTAGATGGAAAATTCACATTTTGAGGGAAAGCAGGTTTTTTTGGTTATGAGACGATAGTAAGCACAACTTTGTAAAATAAAGTCTTCTCGTGGAAGTAGCACTCTCCAATTAAAAGAAGAAGACAAAGAGAAGCCTTTTCCTTTTCTGCCACAGCCTTGGACAAGCAAAGGAGGAGAGATTCAGGGTGTGTCCACTGATATTGCATTCAGATGTGTTGTCTTGGCTAGTGTACTGACAGATTTATTTTAAAAACAAAGTTTAAAAAATGCATTGTGTGCTAGTGAAGTCACTTCATAAATCTTTTCCTTTATGAATTATTTTGATCACAAGGCTCCTTGTTTAAATCACTGAAGGACTATTCTCCCTAAAAGAAAAATGCCTGCATTTCTAAGCTGTCAGTTCAAAAGCCAGCAACTTCCCCGGAACAGCATGCAGGGATCCAAAAGGGTTGAGAAAAGGGGACCACATGGGTCCTCAGCCTAACATAAGGCAGAATCCGGTTTAGATTTGCTGTGGTTCACAGAAGAGACATGTTTTGAGAATTTGGACCCAGAGTCCTTACTTTTCTAATAGATGGCTTAGTTTGAAATGGTGATTTTGCTTCAGGAAAAAAACAAACAAACAGAGGAACACAGCCTTTGATGCAGCTGGTCTGTCAGAGGGCGGAAGGTTAGAATTAGAATACTCTTCAAGCTGCTGCTGAATAATGAAGGGTAGGGCTTCCTAGCTGGGCAGTTACCACAGCCCCCTGGGAGTCCAAAGGACAAATATTACCTAAAGTCTTTATTCAAAGACTTTAAAAGTTAAGTTGAGTACAAGCTTGGTGAGGAAGGTTGGATGGGGTAACAAGGACTGAGTTCTACCACAAGGATATGAGCCCCAGGGCTGCCATCAGGTCTCAAACCTCAAGGTTAAAGGGCTGGATTCCAATGGAAATAGTCATGAGGTTCTTGGAATGAATAGCCTATGTGAAAGGATTACAAAGAGGAAAGGCAGGCATGTGTTAAAATATATGCCTACACTGAGGTTGATGCAACAAACCGGATTGAGCTAAACTCCAGGTGACTAAGACTCCCTAAACAAAATGTAATGGTCTCACTCATTGTTTCTTACACAGCATTTAGAATGGTGTTGAGACATAAAAATTATTCATTGGTAACGAATAACTCCCACATAAATTTACCAGAGTTATTCATCAACTGGAGCGGCAGGTGGTTCCTGGGTAAATACTGAGGACTCTGAATGTGAAATGGAAATGTACGAGACAAGGGAGCTGGAGAGAAGTAGACAGGTGGTCTCAGGTTCATTGATTCCTTGACCAGTCACCTCTTCCGTCTTTGGGCTCCATCTTGCTGCTGCTCCTTGGAAGGAGCTAAATTTGTTTGGAAAGGATGAGAAGTCAGTCTATCTGACAATGGAAGCCATTGGTTATTGTGTGAGAGTGAAGAGAAGAATAATACATAGTGTTTAGACAAGTGATGAATGCAATTGGATGAGTTTGCTCTCAATTCTGAGTAGGTGGGATGGCTGGGCTATCAGTAGAGTATGACTCTGAACTACTTGAGATCTAAAAATTGGGATTATGAGCGTATCTATTATCATTTATATGAAAATAAAATAGGTTCATTTCTATAAAATAGAAAATACTCATCTTTGTATAAGGTTTAAAAACATCAGGCTATACAATCATTTTCCCTACACAGATAGTATTTTCCGTTCTCTGTCATAATGGGAAATATCACATATCATAAATCTCCTGAGCACATACCTAGGATTTTCTTTTTTTGTAACTCAATTTCATTTCATTTACATATATTATCAAGTCCAACAAAATTATACAAATATTCACAGGTCATATTTATTAAGTGGAGTACTTAGCAATTTCTTAGGTACTATGAATGGTTAAAAAAAAGAAGGGGAGAAAGAAAAAACTTAAAAAGCCATAGTCTTTTCTCATAAGAAACCCACAGTCTATTCGAAGCAGAAAGTCTAATAACACTGATTCTAAGGCAATTTTCCAAATCCATTTTTAAGTGCATTCTACCATGAAAACCACATTTTGGTAGTTCTGTTTTGGTAATGGAGGAATCATACTACTTTAGAAAAAAATGTTCTGCAGAAAAAGCTTGACTTTTAGCCTAAAGGTTGATGGCTCAAACCTCCCCAGAGGCAGCTTCGAAAACCCTATGGACCAGTTCTGTTCTGCACACTCGGGTTACTGACAATGACAACAACAGGAAACTACAATGAACTAAAAAGACAAAATTTGATGACATTAGAAAATAACCTAAAGCAGGCAAAATTCAGCATAAATAACACTGGGTGAGTTCCACTGTTAGCTAGCTTTTAAACTCTCGCCTGTATGGTTAAAATTCAAACAGCGAACAGTCCTATTGACTTGATGGTCCAAAGGATGGGCTTTTGGTTCAGAGTGACAGATTAAGAAAGAAAATCTTAGAAAGGGCAGAATCCTCCCATACAATTGTACACTCTCCTAAGATCTTTGATGATTTGAGAATGTGGAGGAGAGGAGATTACCAGGGAGTGGACAAAAGGTACAACTAGAAAGCTAGAATAAGTAGGCAAAGATACTAGGTAATGGAGAGACAGAGTTAGGAGACCTACACAGTTAGACAGGCTTAGGAAACATCTCAGACTTTTATTGTAACCCCAAAGACCATCCTACATGGATACATATTGGCCAGGGACTAAGAAATTAATTCTAAAAAAAGAGGCAAAACAAACTAAAAAAAGACGAAACAGAGACTAAAGCAGCCTCCATGATTTCAAAGTGATCAACCAGCTATTTAATTACCTCCTAGCATAAACATTACCATTCTTCAAAAGAAGAGGACGAAACATACACTTTCTACATATAGATAACAGGAAATTGGAAAATGTGACCTTTAGTGTAAAAAAAATCAGTTGAAAAAAAAAATCAGTTGATATCAAAAGATATGATCCAGAGGTTAAAAATAATAAGAATGGAAAAAAATAAAAAATAAAAAAATAAATAATAAGAATGGAGGTTAAGGGAAAATTTACAGATCTATTGAATGATTTTTTAAGATATATAGCTATAATAAAAGAACAAATGATCAGAAAAATGGAATTTTTTAAAGGGACTAAAGAGAGTAAATGTCTGAATTTCTAAAAATCATTAGAGATGTTAAATAGCAGAGTGGAGATGGTAGAAGCAAGCATAAATATAGATCGATAGGTATTATGAATAGGAACACAGAGAAAAACACTTTTTAGGTAACTGGCATTTTATTGGTTGTTGTAAGATCAGTACAGAGAGATTATGAACAATTTGTACACAATCCTTAATGCATGTACCAAAATCCTAAAATGGCATGTAGATAAAATTCGTTTCTAAATTCCAGTGACTTTCCAGCTTTAAATTTAGAGGCAAATTTTTAAAAAGACATTATCAAGTACCATGATCTTCAAATGCTGGTAAACTTACATCTTAAGTCCCACCGATTCACAATTCAATGTCACACACACTACACACTCAAATGTTCAATCCTTCATAACACGTAACAAAGTGACCAGGAACACGGGACTACCACAACCACACAGAATGCACAGTTCTGACGAGACCTGTGATGGCAGAATGGTTTTCAGACCCAATTCTTTTAAGAGAACAAATGTGGAAACAAAATTTTAAATGTTCAAGTCACACAAATGCATGACAGTGACTCCAAATTTCCATTAAATATGTTTTGTATAAGGAATACAGAACCTTCCCCCCAGCCTCCCATGGAATGTTATATTGACACCCAGGACAGTCAAATCTTCCCACAATTCAACATCCCACTATTTTCTGGTTGTACTAAACAACCAGTAAATGATTTCACATCTTAGAAAGCATTTACACTAAAAAAAAAAGGGGGGGGGTGATGAATTGAGATTTCCTTCTTCTTAAAAATGTTTCTAGAGCTACTAAGAAACTTGCATTTACAAAATAGTTGATAAAAATATTCCTCTGGATTGTACAAGGGAGATAAGACATGATAAACATTCCTCAGACTTGGCTTCTCTTCTCCTGCTTCATCAGAGGCTGGACTCTCCTCGTTTTTCGTTTCTCCATTCTCAGCAGGTAAATCTTCTCTAGCTTCTTGGTCAGCTCCTTCAGCCTGTTTCCCCTTTGCTCCTCTTTTACCTTTGCTTGCACTGTTTTGTCCGAAGATTTATCCTTTCCTGGTGCCTTTTTGGGCTTCGTTTCCACTTTTGCAGGCGAGGGTTTCGCTGACAATCTGGCCGATCTCCTCTTCGGCTCCTCCTTCACCGCCCCTTCAGCCGAGCTGACCTTCCTCGGGCATCTTGGCTGTGGAGAGGGCGCTTGCAGGACGCCTTCGGACCGCAGGCCACCGAGAGCCTTCTAGAAGCTGGATCGCCTGGCGCTGCCGCTCTGCCCGCCGCTGCCCGAGCTGCTAGCAGAAAAACACTTTTAAAATGAGCGGTATGTCAGTGATCTATTGGACAATATCTGTGTGCCTGATATACTTGCCGTGTCTCCAAAGAAAAGTGAGAATAAATAAGACAGAAAAATGTTTGAAGAAGTGATAGCCGAGTGAATGCCCATTAATTAATGAAAAACACACAAATACAAGGAAAATCACATGTAGTGAACATAGTCAAACTTATTGAAGCCAAAGACAAAAATTTTAAATATGAAAGCAACCTGAAAGGTGGGCAAAATATATTGCCTATAAGGGAACAAGTAAATGAAAACCACTGATTACTCGTTATACATTATCATAGTCAAAAGCAATGGAATGATATATTGTTTAAAGCTTGAAAAAAATAATAAAACAAAATCCTAATCAACTAAATACATTTTGCAATGAAGGGAAGAAAGGAAAAAAACATTTCCATCAAGTCGATTTTGATTCTTAGACCATGTACAGTGTTTCTGAGACCGTACATCTTTATGAGCAGATCGCCTTATCTGGTAGTTTCAAACCACTGGCTTTTCTGTTAGCAGCTCAAAGCCTAGCCACAGGGTCATAACAAGAAAGAAATAAAATATATATCTAAATAAGAACTGAAAGAATTAGTTGCCAGTAGGACTCTTTTAGGAAACATTAAAGGAAGTTATTTGGACCAAAGGGAAATGATATACCAAATAGAAAGTTGGTTTAACAGGAAAGCACGCAGAGTACTAGAAGTTTTTTATCACTAGTTACATATAAGAAAAGATTTCTTATTCTCTTTATTTCTTTAAATGTAAAACTGACTAGTGAATAAATTATTCTATTATATTATGAAATGTATATTTATATATATTTTTACATCCATAAGTGTTATAAATACTCAGAGACAGCATGATAATAAGTAAAATTATACTCTTTATGACTCTCATACTTAAAAAAAGACTCTCAGAAGTAGTTGTATAGTAACTAAGTAGACAATAATGAATTTAAGATATATAGTATAATATCTTGAACAAGTGCTAAAAATAGTAATAAACGTAAAACTAAAAAAGTCAATAGAGGATTTAAAGTTAAATATTGAATCAAATTAACTCATAAAACCAAACCAAACAAAAAACTAAAAGAAAAATTAGAAAATAAATAGTGAAATGGGAGCTCTAAACTCAATCACAGCAATAATGCCATTAAACCTAAATGTTGTAAATACAGTAAAAGACAGAGAGAGACTGGGGAATAAAAGAAAGACTCAAATTTATGCTGTTTCAAGGAATTATTTATAATTTATAATTATTTATAAACATGTATTCACAAACAGAGAAATAGAGTAAACTACAATAACAATGAAGAGATTTTAGCAACCTTCCCCCAGTGCTTTATAGAACAAGTAGACTGGAATTCAGTAAGGATATACTAGATATCAAAAATATCAACAATTACGTTGACCTATTTAATAATTAGAGTACATTGTTCCCTCCTACAAATACATATTCCTTACAAATGCACAAACCTACAATTAGAACGAGAATTAATAATAAAACATTCAGTGTTTTCTGCTTAAGATCTAATATAAGATAGGAGATTTTATTTTAATATTCGACTAAGGACCCTAGCCAATGCAATAAGGCAAGAAAGATAAAGGTATAAGACTAGGAAATGAAGCATTAGTACTGTCTTTATTCACATATAACATGATTATTTACATTGGAAAATCTTAAGGCCATACAGCAAAGAAGTACATGTATTAAAGTCACAAAGTTAGTACAGAAAGAGGCACCCCAAAAAACCACTGGAATGCACACACCCCCACGTATTTATTTATTTTTTTACAAAACAACCTTATCACCTTCAGAGTATTCTCCATTATATTTAATATATTTGTCAAATCTGAGATTCCATTCTTGGAAATATTTTTCAAACTCATCTCTCTGGATGGCTGACAACACCTCCCTCGTTTTTTCTTTACCTTTTCTACATCATAAAATTACTGTCCTTTCATGCCCCTCTGCATTCTCAGAAATAAAAAGAAGTTGAATGGAGCAAGGTCAGGTGAGTAAGGTTCATGGGGCAAGAGAGAATTGCTATTTTTTGCCAAAAACTGGTTCACTGAGATGGCTGCGTGGGCAGGTGCGTTGTCATGGTGACAAAACCAATCCCTCCTCTGCCACATCAGGCCTTTTTGTCACACTCTTTTACAGTCCTTTCAGAACCTCTAAATAGAAAGCTTGATTAACAGTCAGACCAAGTGGAACGAACTCAATCTGATGTCAAGACTTTTCATGAATATATAGTAACAACAACAGAATGGGTTACCCCACCCCTTGTTCTTTTTAAGGAAAAACAAAAAACAAAACAAGAAGATAGGTTATTGAAAAAAAATATCGGGACAGTCTACACATTGTCTCCAGATATATAGTCAAGAAATTGCACACAAGTCGAGGTAATTTTATTGTAAGAAGAAAAGTGTTTTCAACAAATAGTGCTGGATAGATAAACATGGAACTAAAGTGAACCTCAACCCACACCTCACACTGTAAATCAAAATTAACTTGAGAGATGTTAAAATCTAAAGAGCAAGGTCAGCAGTGCAACTCCACCAGCTGTCCTAAGGGAGACAGTTGAGGCTCTCTTCCTGTAAAGAGTTATAGCCTCGGAAACCCTACAGACTACCGTGATGAATCACGTAAGGAATAAGGAAGGCAAAAGAAGAATCTATGCATTTGAATTGTGGTGCTGCCAAAGAATATCAGGATTTTCCTGGACTGCCAAAAGGATAAACAGATCTGTCTTGGAAGAAGTATAGCCAGATGTTCCTTAGAGGCAAGGATGGCACGACTTCATCTTCTCTACTTTGGACATATTGTCAGGAGAGACCAGTCTGCGGAAAAGCACATCAGGATTTGTAAAGGAGAGGGGCAGCAAAAAAGAGGAAGGCCCTCAATAAGATGGATGGACACAATGGCTGCAGCAGTGGGCTCGAGCATAAAAACGATTGCAAGGGTGGCACAGGACAGGGGAGGGTTTCATTCTGTTGTGCGTAGTGTGGCTTTGGGTGGGAACTGACCGGATGGCACCTAACGACAACAGGAGTCAGAATCAACTCAATGGCAGTGCGTTGCTGTTTTATCTTTTTTTTAAATTATGACCTAAGGGTATGCAAAAATTATTTACAAAAGGCATTAAAAAACACTAACCATAAAGGAAAAGAATTATAAATCAAACTTGCTAAAGGTTAAAATAGTTTTTCAGAAAACATTGTTAAAGATAATGAAAAGAAAAGCCGCAGGCGAGGAGAAACCATTTGCTCTATCTCTCTCGCTCTCTCTCTCTCTACACACACACACACACACACAGGACTATATATATAAATATATATAATAAAACAAAGGACTCATGTTCAGAATTTGTAAGGAATACCTATAAATCAATAACTGGAAAAACAACTTTTTTAAAAAAGACCAAAAATATGAATAGACAACTCAAAACAGAATTCATAAGAATGGCCAATAATTTTATAAAAGGCATTTAGCATAGTTACTCATCAGGGAAACTCAAATTACTACCAAAATGAAATAATACTTCATGGTTACTAGAATGAAAAAGGCTGGCATAATTAAATATTGACAAGAATGTGGAATACTGGGAACTATTATACATTTACTAGTGGAAATGCGAAATGGTATAAACACTTTAAAAGATGGTCATTATTTTATAAAGTTAAACAAATACCTATATTTCTAGGTTATTTACCAAAAAGAAATGAAAACTATGTCCTCAGGAAGACTTATTGCTTCTCGGACTTTTGGCTAAGATCAAGTGTAGAAAGACTTGTATAAACATGCTTGTAACAGATATATGAAGGTAAGTGCCTGAAACCAGAAACACCCAAACATGAAAAATAGAAATGTAACTTGGAATATAGTCATAGGTTGGAATACTAATTATTTTTCTTAACTATGAAACACACAAGTTTGTGGGTGAATTTCAAAGTAATTTTGCTAAAAAGGCACACAAGAGTATCTGTTGTGTGAATTATATGAAGGTAAAAGTAATGTTAACCGACTCTTGGGGGCCAATTGTGTTAGAGTAGAGCTACTCCATAGAATTTTCTTAGCTGTAATCTTAACAGAAGTAGATCAATAGGCCTGTTTTCTGTCATTCCTCTGGGAAGGTTCAAACCATCAACCCTTAAGTTGTGATGGAGCACAAACTCTGGTAGTGGTGTAGATTAAGTTTGGGGCCAGTAACAGCAAAAGTCAAAGATCCAAACCACTAGCTGTACCCTGGGAGAAAGATGAGGCTGTCAGCTCTCTTAAGGATCTAGTCTCAGAAACTAGATATCGGACCACTAAAAGTGGAATCCACCTGATGGTGGTGGGTAGGTATTGTGATTAAAAACCAGGATATTGTTTATTATGGGAGATAAGAATTAACTGAAAAGGAAAACAAGGGTGCTTTCTATATCTATTATCAAAGTAGATATACAAAGGTATACATTTTTCAAAACTTTATGTTTTACACTTTAAAATTCATGATTTTTCCTGTATGAAAAATTTGCCTTAAGTTAAAAAAACCCAATTCATCCTTGGTTCTTAATCAACTCTCACAGGAAGTGCTTCATCCATTTTGTTAACAGCTCCCTTCTCACTGAAGGAGCCTGGGTGGCTAGTGGTTGTGTGTTGAGCTACCAACCACAAGAGCAACAATTAGAGACCACCAGCTGTCCCTCAGGAGAAAGATGAGGCTTTGTACTGTCAAGCGTTACAGTCTCAGAAACCCACAGGGGCTGCTCAGCTCCGTCTAGTGGAGGCACGCAGTGAGTTTGGGGTTCCTGTTCGTCTTCAAGACCATGTTAAAAACCCGACTTTGCTTCCTATTGTGTTGGCTCTAAAAGATATGATAAAACATAGAGGTTTGACAAATCTAGGGATGTTCAGGGTTGAGGAAAGAGGTTTCAAATAAAACGCCCAGGTGGGGTTTTGGAAAGGCCTTGCTGCTTTGGAGCAAGTTTTTATTACTCATATTCATATTTTTCTCTTTTGTAAATTATATTGTTTTCTAGATAGCCCCAATTTGTTGAACAAGAGTTCATTTAAAAAGTCCTTCAGATTTACTTTTTATGTTATTGTATATTGCAAAATTAATATCAAGGACCAGTTTAAAAACTTGAAAGAATATCAGGACTTTGTAATGTTTCCATCACCTTTTTATGCTATGCAACCAATGATGTTATTTACTCCTGGTTTACTCTTGTAAATTGTCAAGAGTAATAGAATAGAATAGAATAATTGAATATTCAAAGCTGAAAATATGCAAGATTTCAGTTTCCTTTTAAATGAGAGTTTACCACTTCCTTGCATTTACCTGTGAAACTTCTGTGTTGGCACAGTTATCGTCTGATTGAGCAGTACATTGTACAGAAATGCGATTTTCTGTGTTTAGGTTCTACAAGTTGCCATCAGGTCTTCTCTGCTACATCATCTCCTCTCCCATCCCCAATAAATAGCACCCAAGTCAGATGGTACTGTCATCTTTCTTTTGTAGTGAAGGGTTATTGGAGTATTGAATACCTGAGTTGTGAAATGTAGATGAACACATTAACTTGGCTGAGTTATTTCCTTTCTGTGTTTCTCTTAAACTCATATTCTTGCCCAGTCTCTCAACACAAGATGACAACTTCAGTTTGATATGCTGAATATTTACCAAATCATGTGGCATGCTTTTGAAGTCCTTTTTATACACTTTCCATCAAAGGCGTTGACTCATCCTTCACTCATTTATTCCTGCTTCTAAGAAGTTGCCGTTTTAGAAACTTGACCTCAGCTTCATCAAACAGATGAATGATATTTTCAAATGATCATCAGAAATTCTGAAGGCATGAGTACATCTTACATCCCATGACGACCATGTATAGTGTTCATTTTTAGAATGTTAATAATGTACCAATTCATCTTAGGTAGTTTAATGAAACTTTACTCAAACTACATTATTATAATGTAGTATAAGGGAATATGATGGAGGAATCGTTTTATTTAGACAGCTCTATAGTATCCAGGGAGTTAAGGCATTTATGGTTGAGATCATGTAAAATAATCATGAAAAAGCCCACTCAAACACTGATATTTGTGCCCAGGAACAAAATAAAAGGCCCTGTGTTTTAGGGTCTAATGAACAATTCAGCCTGCTGAAAATAGCAGATCTAACAATAAAGAAGAAGAATGAGGAGACGAAGAAGTAGAAGGTAGAGGAAGAAAGGTCTTCAGAATACTCTTAGGTTTTCTTCTTATTTTCTTGGCTCATCATAGCAATGTTCATTTTGTGGGAGTACGCAGTATTCCTTAACCAAAGGATAGAGAAAGGAGCTGAAGAAAGTAGGGACAGATAAATAGTTGGCATTGGAAAATGTGGGTGAAGCCAGTGCACATTGAAGACTTCTATCTGGCCTATCGATCTCTGAAGACTATTCTCTGTTATTTAATAGTTTTAGAAATAATGGTTAATACTGTATTTCTGAAAGTTAACAATCACTACTGGGAGCTTTCTTTGTGAATTATTTTTTCAAAATTGTAATGTTTTCCTTCTTCTTTAAAGTGGGCGGTAGGGATATTTGGGTAGATTGAGGTAGAGAAATATGAAAGGATCTAGTCAGTTTTACTAAAAGTCTTCCATGATACTCATATCGATTATGTTTTCTAACTCTACTGTATAATTAAAATTGCTTCTTTCATCTTGCTTTGGTGGTACACTTTATAGGTAGGATACCTTGTCTGGAGTATGTTCTCTAAAGTGCTGATGGCTTATCAGTTTTTGCATGCATTGAAAACACTGAGCATAGCCCCTGCTGCGTAGTGTGTGCTCAGTTGCTCACTGCCTATTGTGTTATTTCTGGGGGGGGGTTTGTTACTACCTTTAAATGGAAATTGCCAGTCATATTTTAAAACTTAACTCATTGACTCAATCTTTTAAAAAGATTGAGAAGCATACAATTTATCTAATGTGAATTTAAAATAAAGTAATGTGAGTTGGTGGGAAGAGGATCTTTAAAGGCAAACTCCTGTACTAATTAAGATTTGAATTGTAGACATTTAAGGGGGCTTCAAATATTTGTGGAAAATAAAAAGAGGAGATGGAATTTTCCCAGAAACTTTTGGAGCCCCTTTGTACAATGTTAGAACACATAATTTACTATGTTTCATTCTCATATGCTCATTTATAGATGTTTAAAGATTACATTTAAAAAGATGCTAATAGAGGCAATAATCATGGAAACTGAAAAATAATAATAAAAGAAGAATTGAGTCATTTCAGAACCAATTGATGGCACAGTTATCAGAATAGAACCCTGTTGTAAGCTGGGGACAACTTGTATATACACAGGTTTCCCCACAAGCCAAAAGTCGAGTGTTCCTGGCAAACCTTTTGTAAGCAGAAATGGTGTAAAGTGAAGCAGCAGCTACCATTAACTTATATGGGAGATTTTTTGCTGTCCCTAGACTCAAGAAATAATCTACCGAATCATAATAAGTAGCACATAAACCTAAAAGACACTAGCATCCAGCATTCACAGATACCCTTGAAAGCACTGTCAGCTTGAGAAGGAAATACTGAGTGCTGCTCCCCGTAAAGGAGCGTGGTAAGGCACTCTCGCTGATTGGGATACATGCTGCCTCTTTACCAGCACTGCGCCGGACAAATATGATGATACTTTTACCCTCTGCCTTCTTTCATAACAGTGCAATCCTCTTCAGGTATCTGTGGGTTAGTGAAGACAGGTACTGATGTACGTCTGTCACAAAGGGGAAGCAGCACAAAATGAACTCTGGGCAACTGGGGGATACTAGAATGTGTGTGGGTGTTGCTAGCAAGGTTCTATTTCACGCACGCACAGGTGTATTCATGCAGAATCTGTTTAAACACATCTTTGTGATCAGTGGATGACTGCAGATCCGTTCTCTCATTAAGACGCTGTCTTAGTCTTGTCAGGGTGGCCTCCAGGGGAAAATGAGAAAGGTCAATCACGACTGGCTTCCAAGGGGGGATGTACGGGACCAGGTCCATTGAGGACTGAAAGATTAGCTCAGAACATTAGGACCGCTATTTGGGGGGACTACAAAGTGGAACCTCAGTAGGCTTTTCTGGTAAGACACAGATGATCACATGGGCTTTTGAGGAAGGCATTTTAAGAAAACTGCATTGGTGAGAAACACCCAATCACAACAATGTGCCTGCTCATTTAAGCATAGCAAGTGATGTCCAAACAATTGTATTGGCAAACTTCACCCTATCCACCTACAGTCCAGATCTTGCCCCTCAGACTTCATTTTTGTTCTCAAACAAACAAACAAACAAACAAAAATTCAAAGAAACACAATTTAAGTCCCTGGGAGATGCCAAAACTGCGATTTTTGATGTGGTATAAATCAAAGAGCACAAAATGCTTTGGGGAAGGGTTAGAGAGATAGAAATACCACCTTCAGAGGTGTATAGATCTAGGTGAAGGATATGTCAAGAAACAATAACTTCACATTTTGAAATTCTTTAGTAAAAATATAATAAATGTTTCTATAATTTCATAGAAATACTTTTAGATTCACCTTATATATATGCAAATTGATTTTATCTATAAAACATATTTGAAACTTCTACTTTATCTATTTTGTCATTCTAATCACCATATAAAGTCTGAGCGAGGATTTTCTCTTGGATGAAATGTTCACTGAGTCACAAAACCAGAGATTGAGTCTATTAGGTACCTTAGTTTGGGGTTTTATGGATCTGCAAGATTGTTTACAAGGTTTCTTTAGAAAAGAATCTCATGGAATTCCATGTTCTCTTATTAAACAAGCCCAGAAAGTTTTCTACTGACTATTCACTTTTAATAGCCCATTTCTGTGAAATCAGCTTCTCAACAGTTGGAATTTCTGTTTATCTTCTTTATGTGTTTCACTTGAATGTTTCTAACTTTGTGGAGACTCATCTGATGGTCAGTAACATTATGACTAAAAGATACTAGTGAAAAGCCTATTATAAACACAAGCACAAAGGTTTTTTTATACTTCACAGTGTATCCCTTTCCCTGAAGTAGAGTAACAGTGGAAGATCAGAGAAATCTTCTTTGGGCTCCTCTGCTAGATTAAACGGTGGACAATCAAAGGATAATATTATTTGGGGGGGGGATAAGAAATGACTAGGCATAAATTACACTTTTGAACTGTGGGGTTCTTCAAACATAATCAGGATAATTATATTTATTTTAAGTCTATCTATATTATTTTTAAGTCTTTAAATGGTTAATTTCTGAATCTGCACATTTGCCCCAAAAAAGGGTTCAGAATAAATCTGTTATTTACTTTACTTTCAATTTAGGAGACCTTGCATTCTTTATCTGATTTGCTTGAGTTTTCTGCTTTTCAAGTAAAACAATGATAATCCCTTGACAATGATTTTCCTCTACTGTATTTTATATAATTTTATACAACAATATATTGGGACAAATTCCAATTAATTGAAAGTGTTTTGTTTTTCTAAGTGCCCTCTATATCTCAGGTAGAATTTTACCCTTCTATTAAGCTCTTAATATTCTGAAATGTTGTGTAAAATATATCATAGTATCTTTTAGAGTACACCTTTTGAAAGCTAGGTAACATGGAACTCTAACCGCTATTAGTACAACTTGTACATCTATAAATAATAGTTTCCATTTTTATTACTTTCTATTAAGGTATTACCCTTCCATTATATCAGTGTTTGAAGGCAGTTTGGGACCTGGTGTATTTCCTTTAATTACAAAAGAGTGTCTGTCATCTCTACTCAATTATATAATGACAGAGCCCATTCAATTTGAAAGTTTAAGCTGAGAATGTATACATAAAATGTTGAGACAAAAAAGAGCTGATACCAAGGGCATAATAGAAAGTAAATGTCTAGAAAAGAATGATGGTGACATATGTATAAATATGGCTGATAAAATTTATGTATGGATTGTAATAAGAGTCTGAGAGCCGCCAATTAAATGATCTTTTAATAAAAAGATAAAGAAAAAAGTGTTTAGAAAATAAGTATACAGTAAACATTTAATAAATAAAGCCTTATTCAAAGGAACCTTAGCAGGGCTGTGGATTCATTTTGAGGCTATTAAGCACAAAGTCAGTAGTTCAAACCCATCGGCTGTTCCACAAGAGAAAGATGAGAGTATCTGCTCCAGTGAAAATGCACAATCTCAGAAACTCCGTCTAAGATCACTGTGAGCTAGAATCACCTCGATCGCAGAGGTCTTATGACATAGACGTTTATAGCTATTGTTGATGCCTTCTGGTGGATTTCAGTTCATAGTGGCTCCATGTATGAGGGTGCTTCCATGCATCATAGAAATATCCATGATGTTAATTTACATTTTATGGAAATATCCATTAACTTTCATTTACCTTTTTCCACAAACTTTTGGCAGTTCCCTCAGACGTGGGGTCACCATCCAGTTCTGTAATATCTTCACAGCCCCTGCTATGCTCAGGACCATAGATGCAGCCACGGCATCAGTCTGTCTTATTGAAGGTCTTCCTCTGTTGCACTGACCCTGTACTTTCCCAAGTAAGATATCTTCTCTAGGGGTTGGCCACTCCATATATATGAAGTCAAAAGAACTGCTGCATCATAGAGACCCTTAGTAAACAAAAATATCAAAACATGAAGTTTTTGCTTTTCAACAGCATCTCCATCTATGTCTATACACGTCTGAAAATGATGTTTCCATCTGTCTAACTCTTCCCACAAAGATTTTGTACTCTTAATTTACACCACTTCAACTCAGCAGTTTTAGCATTCTCAAGGAACTCAGATTGTGTTCCTGTGTTAGTCTGGGTAGAGAAATAAATTGATGGATTGAGAAAACATCCCAACCCAAATCAGATCAAGTCCATAAGTCCGATATTACCCCATATGTCCGATACCAATCTATAAAGTCCTCTTCAGACTCCTGAAACACAGGCAATGATGCCGAATGCAGGTAGATCACAGGCCAGTAGGTGCAAAGTCTTAGGGATCCAGTGGTAGCAGAAGGATCTCAGTGCTGGCAGGGGTCTCCACGTGGCTCCTCCGGCTCCCAGGGCACAGGAGCTATCAGCATAGCACCATGTGTCTTGTCACTAGAGGGTCTCTCAGGGAGTGAAGTCTCTCTCTTGCCTCCAAGGAGCTATGCATCTCCTTAGCAGCTCCAAATGAGGTCATCAAACTGCAACCTGATTGACAGACTAAATTCCACCCCTTCACTCTTAATACTCTACTACCACAGTTCCTTTTAAGTTTTATTTGAAATTTGCGAACAGAGAAGTCTGTTGGGTCACAATTGGGCTGTAAATTGGATGAGGTAAGGTTTCCCAATGAAATCCCAGAGAATGATTCTTGCTACCCAAAATAATGAGCAGATATGGTTTCGGGGAGGGGGTATTTTTGTGATGGAAAAAAAAACCTTGTTAAAACTTTCCTTGGCCTCTTCTCATCAAAGTAGTTTGAAGTTTGCTGTAAAATTCTTCATGATAAGTCCACATGACCACCCTGTTACCTTTGAGAAAATTGAGCAAGATTACCATTGGGAATCTCCACACCCCCAAAAAGTCACTAGAATCATCTAAGCCTTGATTTTTTTTTTTTAACAAATCATTTTATTGGGGACCCTTACAGCTCTTATCACAATCCATACATACATCCACATGTCAAGCACATTTGAACATATATTGCCATCATCATTTTCAAAACATTTTCTTTCTACTTGAGCCCTTGGTATCAGCTCCTCATTCTCACCCCACCCCACTCCCATCCCCCACTTTTCACTCAGGAACCCTTGATAATTTATGATTTTTTTTCCATGTCGTACACCGACCACTGTCTTCCTTCACCAACTCTTTTTCTGTCCATCCCCTGAGAAAGGGTTATATGTAGATCACTGTGATCAGTTCCTCCTTCCTCCCCCCGACCTTCCCCTTCCCCTCCTGGTATCGCTGCTCTCATTATTGGTCCTGAGGGATTGTCTATGCTGGATTCCCTGTGTTGCAAGCTCTTATCTGTACCAGTGTACATGCTCTGATCTAGCCGGATTTGTAAGGTAGAATTGAGGTAATGATAGTTGAAGGGGAGGAAACATTAAAGAGCCAGAGGAAAGTTGTATGTTTTGTCAGTGCTATACTGCACCCTGACTGACACATCTCTTCCTTATGACTCTTCTGTAAGGGGGATGTCCAATTATCTACAGATGGGCTTTGGGTCTCCACTCCGTACTCCCCCTCATTCACATTGATATGATTTTTTGTTCTGGGTCTTTGATACCTGATACCTGATCCTATCAACACCTCATGATCACACAGGCTGGTATACTTCTTCCATGTGGGCTTTTTGCTTCTCAGCTAGATTACCACTTGTTTAATCTTTAAGCCTTTAAGACCCCAGATGCCATATCTTTTGATAGCTGGACACCATCAGCTTTCTTCACCACATTTGCTTATGCACCCATTTTGTTTTCAGCGATCATGTCTGAAGGGTGAGCATCACAGAATGCCAGATTATTAGAACAAAATATTCTTGCATTGAGGGAGTACTTGAGTTGAGTAAGCCTTGAATTTTACTGGCCCAGAAGATCCCCTTGGAAGTGACTGTGTTGCTTAGACCATGTT